GCAAACGGACATGTTCCAACAAGTTTATCAGTCTTTTTGTGCTTTGTTTGATTTTTCTACCTCGGCCAAGGAGATTATGTCTTTGATAGTGTTTGTGTGCATGTATGCATGTAATTCTGTCTGCAAACATAGTAGCTTCAAAAGTTTGGGATGAATTCTGAAACTGTAGAGCGAGGTCATGTTAACTATTCATTAAAATTTACCTTACATCCACTGAGATCTTCAATATTAACTTAATGTGTGTTTATTTGTCAGAAATTGACATAAAAGCTTAGAAACTATGATTTTTTAGTCTTGTGTGCATTGTTTCTTACTGCCAGTGTTTGTACTGACAACACAAAGGTACACAGGCGATGATATATATTGGCAAGGTAAATATGACATCTCAGTTTGCATACAAATATCATGTTTTTCAAGTTAACCCTAAAATGCATTATATCTTTAAAGAAAGTTTCATCAATAGAAAGAGAATGAGCTGCTAGTTAATTAGAAATACGGGTGGGTTTAAAAAAAACAATTTCCAAATTCAAATCGATTTTAATTTAAATAATCTGATATTAATACATTAAATCCTGGAACTGTTTTTTAAATATGGATTTCAACAACCACAAAACAGATAAAACTCCAAACAGTTAAAGAGCAGGTAAACAGATTCAGCAACGAGATGTAAAACAAAGCGTGGATCTTTCTCAGTGTACTTTGAGACCAATTTCCCACCAGAAATCTTTATTTTCTGCCTCATTGGCTTGCTTATTATGCACCAGTCTAAAGCGGTGTACAGTGTAGTCCGACGCTTTTCTTTTTTTCCCCACTGAATTTTTAATTGTAGAGAAAAAGTTAGTTCACTTTGTGTATGTCATGGCAACAGGATGAATACAAAGTAATTACTTTAGGATCTGTTCATAATTTGGAAATATTTTTAATTTACAAAGTTTAGAAGGTTTTGACAGTACATAACCAAGACAAATAATCATAAACTTGCATTTGCAGAAATCACTGACAATACCCAGTCTTATTTAGAAATATACTATTATATAATTAGCTAAAGTTAATCATGTCCAGTTATTACAGATAAATATCTATTACCCATTACCTGCTCCTATATAATGTTTGAATCAAAGTAAATCTGTCATTGCTATCTTCATCAGATTTTTACTGCACTACAAATTTCCTGTAGGACACTTAAAAATAACAAAACAAAACTAAATAAATATATACAAAATACAATACTGTTCGCTTAAAAGTAAACAGAGTGAGCTGCCATGGTGGAGCTTTGTCAGTGCATGTCTCCTATAATCAAACATCACCATTAATGTCTTGGACAGGGGGGACACATTTCTGCACCTACAGTTTCTAAATGTAATGGTGCCTGCCTTCAGTCAGCTTGATAGATTTCTTTTTTTGCTCTTTCTGCACTTTTCCCACACAA